TTATATATAATTATATGTATATATACAAATATATAATATATATATGTATAAATATATATATAATTATATATATATAAATATATGTATATATGTATATATACGTATTATGCATATATACATATAAATATATATTTATATAAATATATAAATATATATTTATGTATATATATATAATTATATGCATATATATATAAATGCCTGTATATGTATATATTTATTCATTTTTATTTATTGTTTTTATTAATAATTATTAATTATTATGCAGGCAAAGGGCATAAAAAGGGATAATTCTTTTTGCTGCTGTTGCTGCAGTAGCAGCTGTAGCAGCAGCTGCTGTTGCAGCAGCAGCAGCAGCAGCAGCAGCAGCAGCAGCAGCAGCAGCAGCATAAATCCCTCTTTATTATCTTCGCGGTGTTTTGTTGTTTGAATTAAATCATTAAAACTGCTGCTCAATATAAGCCCTTTATTTTATTATTTATTTATTTATTTATTTATTTATTTATTTATTTATTTATTTATTTATTTATTTTATTTAGTATGCATGCATGCATGCATGTAGTGTATAGGGAGTAGATATATAGGGATGGATAGGTGGTTCTTTAGAGGGTTTATTTAGGGTTTAGGGTTTAGGGTTTAGGGTTTAGATAGCAGCAGATACACCGTAGAGGTGCCAATACACCAGAGAGGACACTAGATAGCAGCAGCAGGAGCAGCAGCAACGGCAGGAGCAGGAGGAGGAGCAGCAGCAGTTGTAGGGAGAGGAGACGAAGGGAGAGACCTATTCTTTTAAGGGAGGGGAGGCAAAGGGAGGAATTCAAGGGAATATTTTTTTGCGGTGTATAGGCAGCTAAGCAGCAACAAGTAGATAATTACTATTTATATATACTAAATAATATTATTTACTTTATTTATATTAATTATTGTATATAAAAGGTTATTTATCCTCTGTAATTCATTACCTATATTTATATTTATTAAGGAAATTATTTCCTGAGGTGTATAGGCAGCTATATATAAGGAAGGCATTGGGGTGTATAGGCAGCTAAAGTTGTATATCTAGGTGGTAAGAGGAGAATAAAGGGAAAAAGGAGGTAAATGGGTATAATAAAGAAGAAAATAAGAAATAAAATTAAAAGGAGGTGCCTATACACCTGAATTTATGTCTTTTATATTTAATTTATTTATTTTTTCCCTTTTTTCTTTTTCTTGAGGTGCCTATACACCGCAGTAAGAAGGAAGAACAAAAGAAAAATCCTTCTTCTTAACAAGCAAAAGGCGAATAAACTCATGAAAAGAAAATAAAAACAAGAAAATAAATAAATAAATTAATTGAATTTAATTAAATTAAATAAATTAAATAAATTTAATTAAATAAATAAAGAAATACACGAAGAAACAATAAACAAAGAGGTAGCTGCAGCCGCAGAAGGCCGTGCTTCTTTTTCTTCTTTTTTTTCCTTCTTCTTCTTTCCTTCAAAGAAGAAAAGAATAAAATAAATTAAATTAATTAATTTATTTATTTTTATTTATTTTGCTCCTTTTTTTTACTTATAATTATAAATATTTATTTATTATTTATTTATAGCCGCTGCCGACACCTCAAGGCCCACCGGACTGTCCATTGGAGGCGGCTAACCCTAAACCCTAAACCCTAAACCCTAAACCCCAAACCCTAAACCCTAAACCCTCAATTGTATATCTAGGATCTATATTTGCATTGCCTTGCCTCTTTTGCTAAACGCTGCAGGGCTGCAGCCTACGGGAGTCCTTCGAGTGTCTCCTCAGCTGCAGCAGCAGCACAGGACCAGCAGCAACAACAGCAGCAGCAACAGTATCAGCAGCAGCAGCAACAGCAGCAGCAGCAGCAGCAAAAACAGCAGCAAGTACTGTACGCTACTTACCTTATGCCCTCTGAGGGCTATTAGGGCCTTGGTGCCTCGCCATCCAATGAGGTATCTGCTGCTGCTACCCGCAGCAGCATTAGCAGCAGCAGCAGCAGCAGCAACAGCAGCAGCTTGGAGACCCTCAGAGACAGGAGGATTTAAGAATCTAAATAACTCCAAACGTCTTGAATGGGGGCCCCCTGGGGGCCCCCTTGGGGGGCCCCTTGGGGTCCCCGAGGAGGCCCTTGACCGCCTCTACGCCATGATGCCTCAAGATGCAGCAGCAGCAGCAGCAGCAGATGAGAGACACGAAGACACCGGAAGAGGTGCAGCAGCAGCAGCAGCAGCAGCAGAAGCAGCAGCAGAAGTAGATAGATACAATGACGAGCAGCTGCTGCAGGGCCTCCTTGGCGGCAGAGAGCCTGGGGAAGGAGACGAGTCTGGTATGCTGCAGCAGCAGCGGCAGAAGCAGCAGCAGCAAGAGCAGCAGCAGCAGCAACAGGAGGAGCAGCAGCAGCAGCAGAAGAGGGAAGCAGCAATGTTATTTGCACAGAAGCAAGCAGCAATTCTTGCTGCATTGAAGGAATGGGAAGCAGCAGACAAGGAAGCAACAGCAGCAAGAAGGGAGAAGAAGCAGCAAGAGGAGCAGCAGCAACAGCAGCAGCAGCAGCAGCAGAAGCAGCAGCAGCAGCAGCTAGAGAATTTGCTGCTAGTTGGCCAACTACACTCAGACATAGAAGGACTATCAAGGTCATCCTTACCCTTCCTCCCTATACACCACACCAGCAGCAGCAGCAGCAGCAGCAGCAGCAGCAGCAGCAGCACAACAACAACTACTACCACGGCATCTCCAGCAGCAGCAGGAAGCAAAGGAGCAGCAGAAGAAGATGATCCTAGCAGCAATGCTGCCTCGATAGCAGCAGCAAAGGCAGCAGCAGCAGCAGGATTGGATACAATTGCTTCTCTTGCTGCAGCAGGAAGGGAGGAGTTGCTGCAGGCAGCAGCAGCAGCAGCAGCAGCAGTTTCTGCTGAGGGATCAGGACGTCTAGTAGATGATCTATTTAATAAGTTAGGTCCTCCTGTTGTGCTGCAGCTGGATACAGCAGCAGCAGCAGCAGAAGCAGCAGAAGCAGCAGCAGCAGCAGGAACAGAAGCAGAAGCAGCAGCAGCTGCTGCTGCAGCAGCAGCAGCAGCAGCCAGCAGCAGCAACGTCCCATCGCTGCTGCTGCTAGAGTCCCTACGAGACACAGCGCGCAGCAGCATGCACTTTAGGGTAAGGGCTGTCCCTGATGCAGCAGCAGCAGTAGCAGCAGGATCAGCAGCAGCAGCAGCAGCAGCAGCAGCAGGACCCCATTACTTAATGAGGATAGAGAGGGGACAATTAGCAGCAGCAGAAGATGATGCATTTGCTGCTGCTGAGGAGAGACAGAAACGCATGCATGCAGCTATGCAGCTGCTGCAGCAACCACAGCAACAGCAGCAGCAACAGCAGCAGCAGCAGCACCAGCAAGCAGCAGCACTTGCTGCAGCAAAACGTCATCTGCTGCTGCCTATATGGATAGGGCAGCTGTCCCTCCCTTCCCCTAT